CCCCTCCCGCCCCCGCCGAGACTCCTCCCTGCGCCGCTCCTCCCTCCCGCCCGCAGGGTGGGGAAATGGGGTGAAAGGAAGCGATTTTGGGGGCGGGGGGGTTGGGAAGCCCAAAAACGGTTTTTTTGGGGTGGTTTCTGGGGTTTATTTTGAAGGGTTTTGGGGCCGGCGGCCTCCGGAGGCTGCGGGTTTTTCGCCGCATTGCAACGGCCGCGGGGCCGGAGGGGGAGGGTGGGCTGTGGGGCTGGACACGCGTGGGACACGCGTGTGCACAAGTGGGACACGTGTGGGGCTTGTGTGTGGAGAGAGGAACACGCTTGGGACGTGTGTGTGCAGAGGGCTGGGACATACATGGGACACGCATGTGTCAAGGGCTGGGACACACATGGGACATGGGTGTGTCAAGGGCTGGGACATACATAGGACACACGTGTGTCAAGGGCTGGGACACACATGTCAAGGGCTGGGACATACATGGGACACACATGTGCACAAGTGGGACACGCGTGGGGCTTGTGTGTGGAGAGAGCAACACGCTTGGGATGTGTGTGTGCAGCAGGCTGGGAGATACATGGGACACGCGTGTGGCAAGGGCTTGGGACATACATAGGACACACACGTGTCAAGGACTGGGACATACATGGGACATGGGTGTGTCAAGGGCTGGGACACACACATGTCAAGGGCAGGACACACGGGACACGTGTCTGTCAAGGGCTGGGACATACATGGGACACGTGTGTCAAACACTGGGACATAGATGGGACACACATGTCAAGGGCTGGGACATACATGGGACACACATGTGCACAAGTGGGACACGCGTGGGGCTTGTGTGTGGAGAGAGCAACACGCTTGGGATGTGTGTGTGCAGCAGGCTGGGAGATACATGGGACACGCGTGTGGCAAGGGCTTGGGACATACATAGGACACACACGTGTCAAGGACTGGGACATACATGGGACATGGGTGTGTCAAGGGCTGGGACACACACATGTCAAGGGCAGGACACACGGGACACGTGTCTGTCAAGGGCTGGGACATACATGGGACACACATGTGCACAAGTGGGACACGCGTGGGGCTTGTGTGTGGAGAGAGCAACACGCTTGGGATGTGTGTGTGCAGCAGGCTGGGAGATACATGGGACACGCGTGTGGCAAGGGCTTGGGACATACATAGGACACCATCCTCAAACAAACATTTATATCTATTTCCCCCCCCCATTTCCACACAAAAACCACAAAAAAAGTCATTTATTATCTTTTTTTTTTAATACTTTGTGTTTTACCCGTTTTCCCCTCTTTTCACACAAAAAAGGGGGTGGGGATGTCACCCCCCCACCACCCTCTTTGGCCTCATCACTGAGGGAGAGACAAGAGTTCGGGGCTAAAAACGGGAGATATCGGGCAACAGGTAGAAAAGAAGTGA